AAAATTGGTCCATGTACCTAGGGATTTAGCTAGAGATATTGTTCCTACGGATATATTTCCCTAGGTAATTTTGCAGGAACTAATTTAGTGCAAAATGGTATCAACTTTAGCTGCGAAATTTGTTGGGAATATAAGTTTCACAGGTAATATATTCTAATATTGAGGAATTTAAAATTTTTGCAAGAAAATTTGCAAGAATTACCTGCGAAAATTTTCCCCATGTAATATCCCCATGTAATTAACTCTTTTCTAGTAGTGCTTGAACCAAATTAAAGTAGAATATACTTCTTTAATTGATTTGCAAAATCTCAAGAAATGAGATGATTTTTCATATGATTGGTGTATTAAATTAATTGTTTGTAATATTTATATAAGATATGTTTGTGTTTTACGCAGTTATATTTGACTTTGTTTCTAACAATGCCCCATATTTTGCTAACAAATAATCAAACCTTGTGTGTCTCTTTTAATCATATCTTGATTAGATATTTGATTCTTTTTAGGCTGCTAACTAATTATATTTGTAAACATTTTGATTCTGTTTGAAAATTATGGACAAAATTTTCATCATGCTCCATCATTAAAACATGAGATAAAGAGGTTACATTTTGAAATTAAATTGTGGATGATTTAATTTGTCAATGGATGGTCTTCTATTTCTCGATATCATTTCATTGATAAACTTTTTTTCTTAATTAGTTGACAATGGTAGTATCGAAGACCCATGATTTAAGGTGAACATACGATAAATTATTGTTTTTTTAATACAAGGAATCTCGAAATATGAAACTTAGAAATTAATTTTCATATTAACTTGAATTTTAGAAACGAATGATTATAACATAGAACCTAACTAATTAAATTTCAATCATGCTAGTGATGGATTACCTATAAAAACTCATGTCACCATTACTTGATGGTTATTAAGGGTTGCTCATGCATGCAAAGATTATGAACATATTATGGTATGCAAAAAATTAAATTTCTTCTCTATTTTCATCTTATCCTTCTAGCGTTAAAGTCATTTATTAAAATAAAATATTGTACCATTAGTGTAAAAATTAAAAATCATCTATTTGGCCAATAAACTTTATGTTGGTGTGATATTTTAATATTAATAAAAATATATTATATGTCACATTATATATCATGTTATGTCCATTGGTGGACATTACATTTGTGCATCTTTACTCTCATTAATTGTGGAAGAAAGTGGTCATTAGTGGTTAGTAACTTATGTAACCACCAACTCTTCATTTCACCCATTATTCTATCTTTATGTCTTGTAACTTATGTAACATTTGGGCCATTCATTTGGTAAATTTACTAACCACTATCTTCATATTCATTGCAAGTGTCACGACTTGAGCCTACACCCTGGACGTGGTCGGCACTTGAGAACAATTGTTGGTCCCCAAGTGAACCCTCATCCTGACTGACTTCAAGCAGAAGACTAACTCAAGCATACAAAGCTTAAAAACTGAATAAATATTCATGAAACTTAAATAGAAAGCTTTAACTCAAAAGAGAACTTCGAATAAAATAAATTATTCAACTCGCCATAAAATAGACACTTAAGTCTTTAAAACATTTAATAAAATAAATGAATGATACAGGCGTCTCAACTATACTGACTATCTATGAAGCCTCTAACTGATAAAGATGGAAGTCAGGACAAGACCCACGACATCCTGACTAAACTGAAAAGTAAATGAAATCATCCGAAAACAAGGAGGCTCACCATAGCTAACTTGAACTCTCGGATGTATCAACGAAGCTCATGTTGATGATCCTGAATACCTGTGTCTGCATCATAAGAAGATGCAGGCCAAATGGCTCAGTACGTGGAATGTACGAGCATGTAAGAGGAATTCTAACGCATAAACAAACGCTTGAAAAGGATCTGGAAGAAACTGAAGAAATTACCTGGCTCAACTCAACTCAACCTAACTGGACTCATTTATATATAAAGCAATTTAAAAGCAAGTGCAATATAAGGAAAAGTTGTTTAAAAACATGATGTCAACTCTGTGTATTTAGAAATACAATGACAACTCTGTATGTATGCAAAGATACAATATGAACTCTGCTTATATATGAAAAATACAAATATATCTAATGTATATAAAGATACAAAATAATGTTGTGGGAGTTTCTCTAACCGACAACCATCACTTAAGAGCTATAGTGATGATACAGCATTTTACCTCACGCTGCCAAGGACCGTTCTATACCTTGCCGGGGGTATAGAACCTAACTCACTAAGTGGATCCACTTATTCATCTAAAAAGTATGACCATTTTCTACCCATGATGGCTACATGGTTTATGGAGACTTGAGTTAATATGAACTCGCATCCCCA